GCTTGTCCTTGAGTGCGGTCACCACTTTGAAGCAATTGACTCTTGCCATTTCGGTCACATCAAACGTAATGCAGACACGTTGGCCACTGTTGATTCCACTGCGAGTAAAGTCGAGAGAAAGCGCTCATTTATGCATGTCGTATCAATGTACTACGATTCGGCATAAAACACCATCTTCAGTGAATCGCCGCTAAAACAATCATCACTCACTGATGTCGAACAGCTCGTAGAAGAACTGCTTCCAAGTAACTATTCCGAACTGCGAAAATTTGCTTGCATCGGAAATAAAATTTAAACAGTACATCTGACCAGTGGTGATCGTCAACGATCGACCTTATTCGCCTTTTAACTTTCTTTGCTTGCCCTTTACACCAATAGTTATCACCTATTCAAAATACCGCTGCATGAGGGGCGCGAATGAATGAGTTTTTGCCTCGATCCGCACATCATACGATCGCTGGCCTTTCCTTCCGGACTCAATGGAGTTGTAAATTGTTTGTATGGGAATGGCATTACGCTGAACTTGAGAAAATCTACCCACCGTTTTCCATCTCAGAAACTCACTAAGTGGACTCTTGACAAAACAACAACCCGCAGCCTGCAGTTTGCCACACGACTAAAGTTTATTATGAAGGAAAACTAAGAATACCAACAGTCGAGCGTTGCAGTCGAAAGGAAGTCTCCTGACTAAGTCAACCTTTATCACTGTTCCGAAGTAAGTAAATTAGCGCTAGCAAGAGGAGCAGAAAGCTGAGCCATACAGTAACTACCAGGATGTAGATAAAACGATCTGGAAGACAAAACGCCACTGGCCGATCCACCGAAACTGACATCAACGTGGTAGTATGTGCTGCACGAAAGAAGGGTATCAAGGCCTTTATCGATTATGAAATTTTAAGGAAACCGATATTTGATCATTTACAATTTTGCTTTCCCATTTTCAGTAGACCGTTGAAAAAAATTATGCTCTTTTATACTTAGATTACTAAAATACCAACCTCGCCGGCGAAAAATATTCTTCCGTCGATATCCTGGGCCATTAAATCGTAGTCTTCGCCGTTTGCGCCGACTTTTATAAAGCTGTACGCCATGCCAACAAACGGATCTTCTGACCAATGACTCACCGAAAATGCAAGAGGGTCAGGAATGTCCTAAAATGATAGGTCAGAAAAAACAAATACTATTTTAAGTACTTCATTTGGGAATAATTTTCGTAACACATTGGTACAAATACTGGCAACCTCGCTATCGGATTTCTGTTTAACCAACGACGTCGCTTCTCCGCTGAGGTAACACATCAAGACGAAAGAACTGTCATTTTGCCTTGAGTTCTACAACAACAGTTTCAGAACTGAATTAGCACGAAAGCAAAGAAAATCATAAATTAAAATATAAATGATTCTATCACTCGGCAAGTATCGACGAGTTACGCCGCATAAAAAATTTTTATTATGTACAAGTTCTGCTTCGATCCGACTTTAGGGACCGACATAATAGAGACACGACGTTATAGTATTTGTAAATGTATTTAGGTACAATTTTCACTAAGGAGGTTTTAGCCTCGACAGTGGAAGTTGCATAACAGCCTCGTTACAGTTAGTACTGACGTCTCTAAAACCAATGCATGAATAAAGACGTCGGTATGGAACTAAGTTCACACTGGAACGAAGCTATCAAACAACTTCACAATCGAGGCCAAAACCTCCTTAGTGAAAATTGTACCTAAGTACAACGACAAATACTGTAACGCCGTACATGTAATATATAGCTCCGTGAAGACGGATCGAACATTAGAGAACTTGTACATAATAAATGTACGTAAAGTATTTGTCGAGTGATGAACTAAATTCTCGCATAAAAGAATTCGCCTCTGAGTATAAATTAATCTACTGAAATTAGAAAAGAAATGAAAATTAACATCATGAATTCAAACGATTAAAAACTGAAAACAGTATCAAGACTTTAAAGAGTGATCATACTTCTTTGCAAAAATCGTAATAAACATTGAATAGGCCTTTCATTCCCTTCACATCTGGCACGTGACCGAAGTAATCTGCGTTATGGACCTTCGCTGACCAAAAATTTTTTGAAAATTTTAACGCGACCTAAACACATTATAGAAGCACATTCCCGAAAAAAATGATACGAGAAAAACTAATTTAGTAACGAGCAGTAACTAGTCCTCCAAAATCCTGACATGTAACAGAGAACAAGCACATAAAAATAAATGATCATGTGACAGAGAAGGGAGGCATGGTGGAGTCTATGTGTAATCCTGCGAAACAGGTACATGCCTGACGAAATTAATACGCAAGTAAAAAGGTAAGCGCATTAATGAGAGTGAATAACTGCAGAAGTAGATAAGTAGCTAAGTATATAAATTTGCCCAACAGAAATCTGTGAGTACAAAACGGGTCACACTTTCACTACTGCTGATGAAGTCAACAATAGGTGTCATTTACTGGGTTGCATGAGTAAGTCAACAAATAAAAAATGTAAGTAACCAAACTAGCACACCAATAAGCCGGTAAGCTGGTAGAAAGATAAGTAACTTAGCAAGTAGAGTAAACGCCTAAACTAAACAAGCGAGGAAAGTACACACGTCAAAATGTACATAAATGTGTAATAAGAAAGGAAGCATTCGGTATGATGTCATTACCAAAGATCAAATTGGGTTGAGCAACAGAAATAGAATTTTTATCAACTGCCGGTGCAACAAACTAATAAAGGCCAGGTTTTGCATTTACGCGGAATAACCACACACCACAATTGGTGCTAATTAACATCCATGCACTGCAGGTGCTATAACACATTGGAGCTGAAACGGGCATGCAAGATTCCCTGAGCCACCAGAAAAAAGGGAACGATGTGAATGTACCTGGAAATCCAGAGAGGTGACAGGAAACTATTCCTACCGGTGGTATAGCAGTTTGCTAATCAACCGAAAATACCAAAATTAATTTTTATATAAACAGGTATTATTACCAACAAAAATTTAGGCTTATCAAAGAGTTGTCGTCACCACTGCAAGTGAGGTGCACAAACACTCGCGATAGCAGGGATTACGGCAAACCGGACTGTTTAACTCAAACAGCGATGCCGTTTTCCTTTTATGTCCTGTAGATGGTAATGCAGCTGTTGCCTACATGAACTAATAGGCCTCTGAACGCGACGAGCGATGCGAATATGTCCTGTTACTGGAAGAATGACTGATTTTGGCATAAGGACAGCGTAATAGGTTATTAGCATATTTAGGATAAGACATCGTGATTACGAAATATCGCAAAGTTACAGACTCATAAAACATCATTAATGATAAGAAAGATAATGATTTACAAAATAAAGAACGCAAAAAGTCCGTAGTAATGAAAATTAAATCAAATTAAGCCGTACCTGCCTCAACAGTTCCTAAGGCAATTTTCAGCTAGGGACGATGCAGCATCATTTGCTGTCTGACGTCTGATGATTGGAAGAAAGAAGAACATCAATTTCGGACCAGACTCTGGTTAGTCAACTACGCCGTTGCCGGTCCCAAGCCCGGTTGAGAAATGAGGAGTGTTGGAGACCGTGGAAAGTCTTCGTAAAATTTAGCCACCTGCCACTCATGCAATTGACGCCAGCGAAAATTATATAGGTTCGGTCGTCGCCCGGGTTACCAAAGACCGCGCAGCCGCTGAGGGACTGAGGCAAATTGCGAAAAACCGGTGATCAGAACATGTTCATCGCCCCCTGCCAGATGGGGGCGTAACAGCACAACAACGGCTGACGAACACCGATGGAACGACGATGAAAATACCAGTCACCAACGGAGTCGCTGCTCATTATGAACAGAGGAGGCAGACAGCGCGATGCCATTACAGCACGTCAGAAAAGGCTCCACGAAAACAACACCACCAGTGGGAGCTTAAAGTCAGAAACTGGAACATATCCTCACTCAGAAGAAAAGAACAAGAATTAGTTTATGAGGCCATAAAGCATCTACTCGACATTGTTGGACTCTCGTCAATTAAACGCCAAGGCTCTGGACTCCTGAACCTCAACGAACGGAAACTATTCTACTCAGGCGTCGATATCACGACTCGCGCTTAGACCGGTGCTGGTGTTCTGGTAGAACCGAACCTCGCGAATAGAATTACTGATTGGAAGCCAGTCAGCGGAAGTATGGCAATCCTCCGACTGAAGCTACAACAGGCTAAATCGATGACCTTGGTACAGGTCTATGCGCCCACTTTGGAGGGAGAAT